CTCTGTGTGTTCAAGGCCAACCTGGTCTACAAAGCAAATCCAGGATAGTCAAGGCTACACAGAGAAACCCTGTCTTGAAAAGAAAATGTTTTTCATACAGTGTATTCGGATCAAGATTCCCCCCCCCCCCAATTCTTCCCTGCCCACCTCTCCTTAAGGAAAAAAAAAAATCATTTTTATTGTTTTAAGTTCTGTGTGTGTGTATGCCCGCCTGTGGGTACGCACTTGTGTGAACGTGGGTGCCTGTGGGGGCCAGAGACATCTGACCTCTGGAGCTGAGGCAGACAGTTGTGCCTGATCTGAGTGTTGGGAACCAAACTCGGGTCTTCTGAAAAAGCAACAGCTGGTCAACTGCTGACAGCTCTCATTTTTTGATGGGAATGCGTGCGCGCGTGAGTGTGTGTGTGTGTGTGTGTGTGTGTGTGTGTGAGAACGGCACATGCATACACATATGCATACATGCAAGTGGAGGCCAGAGGTCAACATCAAGTGTCTCTTCTACTCTCCATCCTATTTTTTGAGACAGGGACTCTCACTGAGCCCAGAGCTCACCAGTTGGCCAGACTAACTGTCCAGGAAGCCCCAGGAGTCCTCCTGTCACTAACTCCCTGAGGGCAGGCATGTTACCTGCTGAGCCATTTCCCTGGCCCCTTTTCATGGTCTTTATAGTACCTTCTAAAGGTTTCACCATGAGGACCTGGCCACGATTCTGGGGCTTTCCATCTGTTGAGGTCCTGTTTTGTTTGTTTGTTTGGTTGGTTGGTTAGTTGGTTTTGGTTTTGTTGTTGTTTTGTTTTGTTTTTGAGACAGGGTCTCACATAGCCCAGGTTAACCTTGAACTCACTTTGTAGCTGAAGACTGAACTCAGGCCTTCACCTCCTGAGTGCTAGGAAGAGCTTATTTGGCTTCAACATCAAAGGAAGTCAGGACAGGAACTCAAGCAAGGCAGGATCCTGGAGGCAGGGGCTGATGAAGAGGTCATGGAGGGCACTGCTTACCGGCTTGCTTATCAGGGCTTGCTCAGCCTGCTTTCTTAAGGAACCCGGAACCACTAGCCCAGGGGTTCACCACCCACAATGGGCTGGGCCATGCCCTGTCAACCATTGATTAAGAAAATGCCCTATTGGTCTCTAACTCAGAGATCCACCTGCCTCTGCTTCCCAAGTGTTGGGATTAAAGGCATGTGACACCACACCAGGTTCATTTATTAAAAAAAAAAAAAAAAAAAAAGAAAGAAGAAAGAAAAAAGAAAAAACAAGCATTTAACAAACACCTTTAAGCTTATCACTTGGAGGGTAGGAGCAGGAGGATGAGGAGTTCGAGGCCAGCCCTAACTACATGAGAGTTTGGGGCCAGCCTGGGCTAGGTAGGGCACTACTCAGAATCAAAAACTTATGCCTGATCCTTGATTCTGAGAAAGCCTGAGCAGCTTCCTGAGGCTCCATCCATCTATGGGGACTCAAGGACTTCAGCCCAGGTCAATAGGGGCTGTATCTCACGTGGCACTCTCCCCACAGCTGCCACTACGGTCCCTTAGAGTGCACTCACCACTGCCCTATCTCAGCTGCCACGCAGCCACTTTATGCATGGCTGGAGGGCGGGGTGGGGGGTGGGGCTACACTCCAGGAGCTTCCCCCCACGGGCAGGGCCAGTCCCACTTCCTGCACAGCCCACTGTGGCTTCTCAGGCAGCCCCCGGGACTTGTCAGCTGGCAGGTGGGTTCCTCCGAGGATGGATGCTGGCATCCATTGCACCCCCATCTAGACCTGGGGACCCAGGCTTTCCTCTGCTCTCCCACTTATGCCCCTGCAGTGGGCTGCTGGTGTATGCAAGCCAGGGCCTGTACCTCATGCTGAGCGGGCTACCAGAGGTGCAGGCCGTACAGGATGGAGCTCCCTGGCAGCAAGGAACTAAACAGAGGTGGGCAGAGGGAAGGAGGAGGAACGGCCTGTGGAAGGCAGCAGCGCCCCACATCCCACTCTTCATCCTCCTTGGGCTGAACACTCTTCACCCGCCCTGGGCACAGCTTTCTCCGTCTCTATCTGGTCTGCCCTCTCTACCAGGACTGTCCCACCCCAGCCTGTAGGGCCGCCTGATGCCCGTTTCTTGCTCTCTTTGGTCCCTCATGGTCTAATGCCAAGAAGGATGGATACACCTGACACAGGAAGTGCTAGGATCGTGTAGAATGGCACACAGAAAATTGCTCCTGAGGCTGCTAATCCCCGGGGGTGAGAGTGTGGAGGGGGCCACTGTCCCACTGCTCATGCAGATGGAAGGGGTCCCAGAACTCAAAGGGGACCCAATTTCCCAGTCCCCCACCCATCCAGGACAACACCAAGGTTGCCCAACCTGGCCTCTGCCCTGCCCTAAAGCTCCGGATGATTCTGAGATGCCTTCCCAGGTACCACCTGATCTTCAGCGTCCGCAGCTGTTTCCCACGGCAGGTGACCCTCCTCCAGAACCCAGGGCCTCTTCCAGAAGCTTCCAATACCACCACCCCCCATCACAAAATCAGCCACGCTCCTCAGCGCAGGGCCCAGCCTGGCTACCTTGACACTAGATTTTCAGGCCTCCATTGTGGCCACTTGTCACTGGGTGATTACTCCTCCTCCAGCCTTGCCTGGCCCAGCTAAGCCAGACTCCAGGGTGGACAAGGTTGAGGACATCGCCACATCCATTTTCACTTGCTTTTTCTTTCTCTGAGACTTTTTTTTTTTTTTTAGCTTAGGCTGACTTGAACTTGATATGTAGCCAAGAATGTCCTTGATGATCCCCTTGCCCCCACCCCCAGAGTGCTGGGATCTCAGTTTATTGGTGATGGAACCCAGGGCCCGTGCACACTAGGCAAGCGCTCCACCTGAGGAGGTACACCCACAGCCACGATCGCTCATCTTGAGCTCTCCAGGTGATTCCTGCAGCTTGTGGCTCTGAGGGCAACTGCAACATACTCAGGGGCCCTCATCTAAGGATTACGGTGAGCCCAGAGGTAGTCTTGGTGCGCCTAACATCGGGAGACGGTGCTACTGGCATCCAGTGGTGGTCCAGGGAGCAAGGGGCTTCACTGGGAAGAGGGGGTCTGGGGGTGGAAAGAGAAGCTATGACCCAAGAGGCGCAGAGCCCCCAAGTTCTCAGAGGCTGTGAGGAGGAGTCCCCATCTCAGTACAGCAGGTGACAGGAGCACCATGCCATCTCCTCTCTGTCCACATCACCCCCTAATGACTGGTGTTTCCTCCCTAAGGACAGCTCAGGAATGGGGACGTTGAGTCCAGAAGCTCTGCTTGCTCTGGGGCCTGTGACTCCCCTAAGCCAAGGTCCCCACAATGAGCATAAGGAAAACACCATCTGCCCTGGAGGGGTGTGATGGGGACATCAAGGCCCTTTGCCTTGCTGGCACTAGATCAATACCAGTGCGAAAGAACAAACCCAACTTCTGGGGGAACCTGAAGCCGAGACACAAGCTGACCTCTACCAGCACCTGCATCTTGGCTATCCCAGGTTTTTCACTACCCAGAACAGGAATTCCAGATCTCTGGCTGTTGTCCCCAGGACCTCCCATACCTCCTTGGTCACCTGCCCCAGAGGGCAGAAGCTGGGCCAAGGACAATTGGCAGCTCTGAAAGTAGCCTGCTGGGACTCGTGGGAGGTGATGTACAGCTAGGGGACATGTGGTTGGCTCTTGGAAGGCACCAGAGAGCCCCTAACAAAGTCAGGGGGAGACAAATGTTAATCAGACGTGTACATGGGGACACACGTATCACGTGTGTGATAGCATCCCCTCCCCGCCCTGGATGAAGGATAGAGCTGGGGGAAGTGATGAGAGATGCTGTGCAGAGATGCTGCGCAGAGACGCTTGGGACCAGAGCAAACGCTCCCTAAGACTTCTGCTCACCCTGGTTCATGCCTGGAGACAGGCATGGCAAGGCAGGAGCACAGTGCTTGCCCGGGAATGCCTTCTTCACACCAAGCCCTTCCTGAAGGCTCCAGCTGGGGCAGGTCCCATCTTGTCTACAGAAGGTGGGACAAGGACTATCCCGCCCACCTGCCCACGTCTGTTGGCATTCTGAAGACTATATGATCCATTTCCTATCACTTTGGCCCTAAAGCCAGGGCCTGAAACGTCACTGCATTGTTTAGTGATGGCTCATAGTAGGAACGTGAATGTCTGTGTCTCCACAAGAATTCCACTCTCCTGCCCTGGACTCAGTTTCCCCTCGTAATCATTGGAAATATACATAGCACAGGGGTGCAGAGACCTGCGGCTGATAGAGTGGACACGACACTCCAGGCTTGTGACAAAGAACTGAGCTAGGCAGGTGAGTGGGGCTTGGAGGAAGGCCCTCTGAGAAAACCATTAAGACGCAGGCCTGGAAGTCATACCTGGATGTGGAGATGTGTGGGTGTGTTGCTCAGTGCTCGGTGGCGAGCACTTGCTGCACTTGTGGAGGTGGGGGATGGGGAAGCCATCTTACATCCCTGGCATCGAAAACATAAAAACAAAGAAGGCGAGGCATTGCCCCGTGCTTGTCATCCCAGCACTTGGGAGATAAGAGGCCAGAGGATCCGTTCAAGAGCAGCCTGGGTAGGCTACAAGAGACCCTATCTCAAACAATACAAAAGCAACCATGACACAGGGAGCCGGGAGGAGACAGCCTGAGTCCCTTTAGTCTGCACCCTCAGGTCCTCTGCCAGCTGTGGCAGACGGAGGCACGTGGCCGGTCAAAATGCCAGAACCCCACAGCGGGGAAGCCCGCGGGGTCACAATGCCACCTGAACATCCCAACTGCAGCGACGAGCTGGGGGCGTTACTTCTTCGTCTCCGCGCAGGAGGCGGAGCCAGACACCCCTTTCCCTTCTACAGAAACGGGGACAGCCAGCCCGATGCCCAAACTTTGCCCGGTGCGGGGAGCGCGGCCAGGGTGGGGGAGGCGGCCAGGGCGGCCGGCGGCAGGGGTTGTGCTCTGCCCTGGGCGGGCTGTGGGGCGGAGCGGCCTGGGCGGCGCCGCCCTCCAGGTGCCGGGCGGGGGCCGAGGCCAGCGCCGTTGCAGGGAGAGCAGGCCGGGCCATGACCCCCGCGGCCCACGGCTGCAGGCGCGTCGCCTGCTGTCCCTCACGACCGCCAGCGTCCGCGCCCAGGGCGCCCCGGGAAGCGGTGAGTGTGCTCGCGCCATGCGCGCCACGGCGGACACTCCGGGCTTTGGAGATCTGGGACGTGGGGAGAGACCCAAGACGAGGGACCCCAGAGTCCCTCGCGGAGACCTGGGACGGTGGGGATCTCGGGGCGGGGAAGCCGGGACGGTGGAGACCCCGGTTGCGGAACCCGGGAGGGTAGTGACTACAGGGTGGGGTGGAGACGGGGGAGGGGTGGCCTGTGGAGACCCTAAGGCGGAGGGGACCCCAGAGTGATGGGAGACCCTTCGGCTCCAGGCGTCCCACAACTTCTCGAAGACTTTGCTGCTCAGCTCCGGGGCCCCCTCTAGCCGCGTGTCTGGCATCGGGTGGGGGCGTGTCCCGCTCGTGGTAGCCTCAGGCCCCTTTATGCACGGGCTGGGCTGTCAGGTTGCGGAGTACTCGGGCGAGGTGGGGGCAGGAGGCCTCGGGAGGAACCGCTTCCCTCCACCAAGTGTTTCGAATGTATTATTGATGAGCTGCCTCGCTTAGGGGCGCCCAGTACATCAAAGCAGCTTCCCGACCGCAAAGGGCAACCCGCTAGAAGCAGGCACTTCTCTTGGCAGGGCTGGCCCTGGCAGATCTGGGGAGGGCGCTTATTAAAAAGAGGACCCACAGCTTTCCTTGGGGACTCTGAGGGTAGGAAGGACTTCTGGCCTTTGCCAAAAGAACAGTGCAGCGCAAAATAGGAGGCGTTCCGAGAGAGGCTAGAAATGTTAGGACACACCCTGTTTTACAGATAAGGAAACTGAGTCCCAGATGGCTTCTCCTGGGAGACTCTGATGTCTCTCTCCAGCCTGAGACACTTCCAGGAAGTCCTGCTTGTGCTATCAGCACCTTTTATGCTTCGAGGTCCCTTTCCTACTCAGGACACAATGTGGCCTGGTCCTGTCCTGGTCCCCTTCCCCCGGGTCCCAGTCCTCTGCACAGGAGAGAGGCTGTGTATTTATGGAAAGTCTTAATCCCTCTACCAGCTCCAAGGCCGTGGAAAGCTGAGTCTAATCTGTCCCTAGAAGGTCTCAGCTGGTGGGCATGCCTCAGGCAGGAGTGTGCATCCCCCAGGGAGGCGTAGGTCACTCGGGAGACGTCCTCTTCCTGGACTAAGGATGCTAATGCTTAGCCAGCAGTTGGCTTGTGCCAGACATGCGCTGGCTGTTTTCATGCTCACACCAGTCCTCTAACCAAATGGGGACTCTTCTGCTCCCCATTTTAGAGGCAGAAAACTGAGGCAGGAAGGTCGATAAGTTGATGTGTTAGCCCCGAGGCAACAGGGAATGGCTCTCATCTTGGGGCAGGGAAGCTTAGCCAGGCCTGTAGAATCATGCACCATAGAGACTGATAGAGGAGAACCCACTCAGAAGAAACCCACTTTGAGTGTCATTCTCCCAGACCCCACACAGTTATGGTCTCCAAGGTCAGTAGCCACCAAGGTCACAGTACCCATCTCTCTGTTCCTATGGTCTCTTTTAGGAAAAAAAAAATATTTTTATGTATATGAGTGTTCAGCTTGCATGTATGTCTGCCCCGTATACATACCTGGTGCCCTTGGAGGTTATTGGATCCCTTGGAGCTGGAGTTACAGGTGATTGTGAGCTACCGTGGGGTGCTGGGAACAGAATCCAGGCTCTCTGCAAAAGAAATAAATGCTCTTAACCACTGAGTCATGTTCCCCTTACCCCATCCCACACTCCGAGTACAGTCTTGACTACAGAAAACATGAGAGGACGTTCTCTTGCACTGAGGGCTTTATTGTTTAGAAGATTTTTTTAAATTATTCTTATTTCATGCGCATTGGTGTTTTGCCTACACATATGTCTGCATGAGAGTGTTAGCTCTCCTGGAGATGGAGTTACAGACGGTTGTGAGCTGCCATGTGGGTGTGGGAATCGAACCTGGGTCCTCTGGAAGAGCAGCCAGTGTTCTTAACCACTGAGCCACCTCCCCAGGCTCTAGAAGTTGTAAAGTGGGAGAGGGGTCACAAACTGGCCCAGAGCAGACAGCAACCTGGTGGGAAGCTGGGTTCCCAGTTGGAGTTTTGTTGGCTGTTGGCCTCTCTAGCCTCCCTGAGAGTCACAGGTTGGCAGTCCGGCCTTAGCGGGTGGGGGAGGCACCCCAAGACTGGCATCTGTTCTCTCGGCACGTTGCTGGGGCTGGAATTGAAAGAATTCTAATCCTGCCATACAAATAAAGTGACTTTTCTAAAGAAGGAAGAAACCCAGATATGGCTGTGCCCAGGGTGCCCAAGGCAGGAAACAGCTCAGTGGCGGGAGCCTAGGGAACAGCTAGGAGACCAGGCTGCCCTGCCCATCCTCCCCCAGCCTCTCAGATGCACACACCTAGCAAACGGTCACATTCCTCCTCCCTTCTGACTGCTCCTGCCCAGCCTGGTCCTTAAAGGAGGGCTTTGTTAAGGGGTGGAGTGCCACTGTGACTCAGGCTCTCTTGGCAGAGGTGACTGGGCAGAGACCATGGCCAAGGGGGGCTCCCAGCCCAATTGCCTCCTAGTCATTTTTCCATTCATGACAGCTGATTATCACAATCAGCACTATGGCTAGAGTAGCAAGGTTCCAAAGGAGGAACCAGCTCGGCCAGTTACAGGTCCACACTGAATCACGTGGGATGGGATGTGTCCCATGCACGACCCAGGCACCCTGCCTTCATCCTGGAGCCTGTCACTCCATCCCTCAATAGTTCTAGATTTGTGTGGCCCAGTGTTCCCCAGACACGGGCTGGAAGAGCCTGCCTTCTACAGGCAGGTGCATAGCATGATGACTCCTGACTTTTTTCTGTGTGTTGCAAGCCTGTGAAAGCCAGGTGGCCAAGTCCCACCTGATGAGCGCTGGTCCCCAAGGCCCACAGGAGCCCTCACTGCCCACCCTGAGTCTCTTCCCACTGCCTTGACCGTGAAGCGTCCACTGTGCAAATGACAAGAGCCCCGTCACTCTAAATGGAAGCTCTCCACCCTCACTAAGGTGTGAAGTGAAATCTTCATACTCTGGCTTGCCTCCTGTAAGCAGCAGCCTGTCCCTTCCCTCAGTTCCCTCGGGGCCACTCTACAGGCTGAGCTGAGAACTGGGCAGAGTGATGGGTGACCCTTGACCCCACAGTCAATAGGGGGAGGAGGGAGTTCTTTTGAGACACGGTCTCACATAGCCCGCTCAGGCCTCAAGCTCCCTGTGTAGCTGGTCCTAGCCTTGAGTTCCTTCTCCTGTTGCCTCTACCTCCGGAGTTGCCGGGATTCCAGGTGTGCGCCGCCGGGCCTGGCTTGGTGTGTGTTTCCTGAGAACAAGGTTGTTCCTCACAAAACATGACACTACGATCTGAATCAGAGACACGACTGTGGACCCCGTGCTACCCACCTAAGACAGGCCTTTTCCTTTTCCATTTTTGTCCTGTGTGCATACGCATGCTTTGTCATACCTGTGGGCCGCACATGCGGGGTGGTACATGTCGGGTATGAGCACATGTGGGTGCCTGAGGCCCAGGGTTGATGTCAAGAGTTTTCCATCCTTCTTCCGCCTCATTCACTGAGGCGGGAGCTCTCAGTCAAAGCCAGAGCTCATGCATATGCTTGCCAGCTGGCTCTGGGGGACTCTGAGACAGGTGGGGTCCGGACTGTGGTCCTCACGCTGGCATTGCAAGCAGCTTAACTGCCGAGACATCTCCCCAGCACCGACATTTCCTCTTGGCCATCACTTTGCAAACAAGTACTAAACCCTGTGCCCCAGCGTCAGCCTCAAAGCTGGCTCTTCTCCCTCTCAGCCCCTACCAACCACCCTTGCTCTCCTTTTCTGGCACATTTGCAGGCGGGGCAAACACCCTCACCGTTCTGTGCTCTGTTGGGTAGCTGAGACCAACTCCCAACAGACAGAACAGGAAGAGCCAAGTTCCAAAATGGGGGTGCATATCTGCCTGCGTGTGTGTGCCTGTCTGCAGCGGACGGGCCCTGTAGAGGTGCCTGGCAGTCTGGGCTGAGGAGGACCCTGAACTTGTGAACCTCCTGTTTCTGGATCCCCCAAGTGCTAGGCTTACAGGTGTGCACCACTAGGCAAACACTCACCACCTGAGCTATGTCCCACACTCACATACCTTTAGGGGTGCCAGCTTTTACCACCTTCAACCCCCCTTCTTGGCAGAGCCCTGTTTATTTATACCCTCATCTACTTGCCCTGCCACTATGGAAGATGCTTCTTTTTTCTTTCTTTCTTCCTTTTCCAAAACAGGGTTTCTCCGTGTAGCCTTGGCTGTCCTGAACTCACTTTGTAGACCAGACTGGCCTTGAACTCACAGAGATCCACCTGCCTCTGCCGCCCTGAGTGCTGGGATTACAGGCGTGTGCCATCACGCCTGGCTTTGGGAGATGTTTCTTGTCCATTGATTTGAACATGGAACATGAGTCAAGTGCCTGTCATGTGACCCCCTGTCCACCTGTGTTAACCAAGCAACAATTGTGTCCAAGTCCAACTTGGAAACCCCATGAGTATGTACTGGGGTGACTTGTATGAGCATGAATAACTTGAGGGCAACTGTGTCACCAAAGCCCACCCCAGCATGTGTGGCAACTCTTAAACACTAGGACCCTGAACTCTTTTGCAACCACTCTGCAGGGCACTGAATTTGGTCCAAAGCAGTCCTTACCACTTAAATATAAGGGAAGGAGGGGTCTTGGGAATCTGGTGAATTTCAGGTACTTCCTGAGCCTTGTTTATTTCCTGAGTCCTAGCCTTCCTGCAGGTCTACACACCTTGAACATTGCAAGCTGCTGGCCACTAGAGTGACCCACTTGGGGTGGGGGGGTTCAAAGCACCCTCCATGCCCTCCCCCACCCAGGCAAGCACAGGGCCCTTGCACACAGATGGCTTCCATAAGCCTCTAAAGGTATGAGTGAGTGTCCTAGCTCCCAAGAGGGTCTGAGGAGTCCTTGGGCTGGAGCTGAGGCTGATCCCAGCTCTGTGGCTCCCAGTAAGCTGCGTGGCCTTGGGCTCCTTGAATCTTGATTTTCATATCTTCAAAACAGGGTGTTGACATTGCCTGGAAGATGGAGTGTCAGGTGTAGAGATGGCTCCCCCTCCCCTGCCTCCTGCTTTATTGATCAATTACTGGAGTTCTAAGGAAAGAGTAGTAGGAAGGTCAGGAGAATGTGGGTGAGAACTGTTCTAATTCTCCATGGACTAGGGACACAACCTATTATGGTTCAATCCATTCCAAGCATCCATATTGAGAGGGCAGGGGCTGGGCTATGGCTTAGCAGTACAGAGGATATGCCAGCTAGATGCAAGGTCCTGGGTTCAATCCCTAGCACCACAATGAATGAATGAATGAATGAATGAATGAATGAATGAATGAATGAGACAATGACTAGAAACCTTGAAAATCATCAGGGGAGGGGCTGGAGAGATGGCTCAGCGGTTGGGAGCACTGACTGTTCTTTCAGCGGACCTGGGTTCAAGTCCCAGCACCCTCATGTCACAACTGTCTGTAACTCCATGATCTGACACCCTCACATGGACATATGTGCAGGCAAAACACCAATACACAAAATATAAATAAATAAGTTATAAAAAAGAAAGAAAATCCGCAGGGGAGAGGTTATAATGGAAAGAGTACCTGCTATGGTAGGTTTCATCTGCCTCATAGCCGCTATCTCTGAGGCTGACCATTGTCCTGTGGCCCCTAAAAGTTAAGGGCCCTCATAAAAAGGGCCCTCAACCCTGGCCAGCCTTACCTGAACTTTCCTGGAGAGCAGCCCTCTGCCCCCAGCACACACTCAGCCCAAATGTGGTCAGCAGGCACTGTGACCTCACAACTGGCTTGTCTAACCACTGCTTCCTGTTGTGTGCTTGGCTGGCTAAGTAGGGGCCTGGCCACATGTGGCCAGTACAATGACATCCCTGCCCCTCTCTGAGTGCTCTCCTCTCTTCACAGGCCTGCAGAGGCGACACCATGGGGCTGAAGCCCTCCTGTCTGAAAGGTAAGGAAGAATGTGGGGTTTGGCGTCAAGGAACATTGGGGAGCAAAGAGAGGGTAGGCTGGTGTGGAGATAGTATAGGAGGCCCCAGAGGCCTGAGGTGCTGGCCTAGACTGAAGAGACACCTATCTACAAAAGCAGTCCATGTATACAGTAGGTATACTACAAATCTTGCTCTGCCTCTGCAACCTCCTCCCTCCTTCCTTCACCAGAGGTCGTTATCCTTGGGCTTCAACTTCCTCCTCAAAGGGAACGATCCAGAAAGTGAGGGCACCTGGGGAAGGGGAAGCCAGGCATAGCTTGAGGAGTACCCTCCCAGGACACTCTGATAAGTGTTATCACCCAGGCAAGAGGTCAGCTTAGCTAGCACTGGGGGAGAAAAGGCCATCGGAAAGTTCTAGAAGGGTGCAGAATCGGTGAGAGGTGTTGGCGGAGGCAGCACAGACCTCTGTTGTGATATTCAGAGGGAACCCGAGGCACCATGGCCCCGGTGACACCCAAAGCCTTTTGATGTCACCCTGTGACACAGGCATGTTCCCCACCTTCACCTCCCAGCCTTGAAGTCCAGACCTGCCCTGGACATCCTTGGCAGGTACCATAGGCTCGTCACCTTAGCTGCTTGTTATCATCCAGCTTGGCTATGGCTCCATCCATCTCCACTGCTCTCGAAGGCCACAGGACCATACCAGCCCTAGTTCTCACTGTTTGGTGTGTTTTCTTGATGGCCACTGCCAAATACATGCTAATCCCACAGGCTCAGCCACTGGCCCAGACACTGGGTTCCCCTCCCTGCCTACCCCAGGCTCCCTTCCTCAGCCTTCTCTTACCCTTTTGCCCTTCAAGATGAACCTAATAAGCGGCCTGTGTTCTCCAACCTGCCCAAAGCTCTGGAGACCTGAATGGTGGCCTTGATTTCCTTGTCCACAAAGTGGGGTCATGACTGGCTGTGGGTGTTCAGGGGTGCCAGGCACCCAGCATTTAGGCTGTCACTGGGATGCAGCTCTCATGATCATCCCCACACCCCTTTGCTACCTGGGCTTTGCAGCCTCTGTTTTGACTGCCAGATCTGACACCGTCACACAGACATGCATGCAGGAAAACACCAATGCACATAAAATGATAATAAATAGTCTGGGTGTGGTGGCTCATGCCTGTAATCCCAGCACTTGGGGAGGCAGAAGCAGACTCTCTGTGAGTATGAGACCAGCCTGGTCTATAAAGTGAGTCCAGGACAGCCAAACATACAGAAAAACCCTGTCTTGAAAAACCAAAATAAATAAAATAAATAATTTTTTTAAAAGAATGAGATGCAGATCTCATTAGGAGATTAGAAAGGGTTGGGGTGGAGGTCAGGGTCTTAGTTTTTCCTTAAGGGTATGTCCTCAATGACATAACTTCCCACTGGGCTTGCTCTTTACAAGTGTCCCCATGTGCTAGGGACCAGGGACATATGAGCCTTTCAGGGATATTTAGGATCCAACTAGGTATGTATGTGCAATCCCACCGCCTGTAAGGCTGAGGCAGGAGAATTTCTGCAAGTCTGGAGCCAGCCTGGGCAAAATAGTGAATCCCAAACCAGTCTGAGTTACACCATCAGCCTGTCTCTAACAAAAAGGAAATAGACCCATGGTCCAGCAAGATGGGACATGTTTTGTTTTTCAGTGGGGACTAGCCTGGTTATATCAGGATATCTGAGATAGTTCAGCCCGGGACACAGTGTAATTCTCCAGCAGGACACACCTCCACCCTACCCCATCACAAGCCTAAAACACTGTGCACCAAGGGCCCCTAGAACAGGAGCTTTGAAAAGGGGCCCCTTCAAGGCATCACCTCATGCAGTTTTTATTGTGGGCTAGAGTTGACCTGCCTCCAGCTACTCAGCCCCTGGAGGTGATGAAGCCCACAGTAACCTGGGAATGACTTCAGCGCATGGACCAGGCAGAGAACCCCACAACTCCTCACTCTACTTCTGTCAAGACCCAAGACCCACCTCCTCTACCATGGAGCCTGTTCTCTCTCTCTCTCTCTCTCTCTCTCTCTCTCTCTCTCTCTCTCAGTGATATTATCCCCACAGGCCTAAGTCATGGCCCGGCCTCCTGTGTGGGCCACTCCAGGGAAGCCACAAGTTTGGCTCTGTGTGGTACTATGTGCTCTGTTTTCTTTCCTTTGAGACACTGTCTCATGTAGCCCAGGTTACAGGCTGTATGTAGCCAAGGATGACCTTGAGATCTACACTGTTGCATTGTGGGTAAGCCCTGTTGGATATTTTTTGAGGATGATGATGATGACAATGATGACAATTTGTTTGGAATAAATACCAGGAATCAGAGTGGTCAAATGAACAATAAATGGCCAATTTGACTTGGGGGCTTTGCCTGGGAAAGGCCCTTTTCTGTGAATTCTATATGGATTAAGCCATTTGTCTCCACGATGAGAAGGCCGAAGCCCAGAGAGAGAGTCCAGTTTCCCTGGGGTCAGGGAGGATTTGAACTATTCCCAAGGCCTTGCTCTAGTCACTCATCATCTGCCTTCATCCTTGTGTGGCTCCTCTTCTGCCCTTTCTTCTCATCAACCACCTTCATCCTCGTGTGGCTCCTCTTCTGCCCTTTCTTCTCTGCGCTGGGTGCACAGTTGTCAGGGTTAGTCCACCCATCCCTAGGATGCTGTCGCTGTGAGGTCCTTATCCTGATAAAACCTTCAAACACCTCATTCCAGTAAGGCTGGACTCAGCCTGGAGCCAGTTCACCCCCAGATGTGTGTGTGTGGGAGGGTTGCTGTTATTCACGGGGCAACAGAAGCAAGGGAGCCAGCCTGGACTTACCTAGGTCCTCCTGTCCCTGGGGCTCACACATTCCCAGCCAATCTTCCTTGTAGGGAGCCCAGCTCAAGGCTATCTCAGGACTCCAAATCATCTTTGCTCCTACTGAGAGTATGTGAACAGCACAGGGCAAATACTGCACAGCACAGCACCCCGCCACCTCAGCTCAGCTTAACACTCCAAACTCATTTTCCATGATGCCCTCATCAAGATGCCCCTGTATGTGCCTCTGTGCTCAGGATTTTCAGGGAAAAGGGAAACATCCTCCATCCAGCCATACTGTGGACTGAGTATCATCCAGGGCACTCAAATTTGTAGCTGTCATGGTGGTGGACCCTGGAGGTAGGAGGACGGTGAGCTAACGGTTAGCTTGAGCTACACAACGAACTCTCGTTTAAAAAAAAATACAAATTTGATGGGCAGTAGTAATGCAGGCCTTTAATCCCAGCATTCAGAAGGCAGAGTCAGGCAGATCTCTGTGAATTCGAGGCCAGCCTGGTCTACAGAGTGAATTTCAGGACAGCCAAGGCTACACAGAGAAACCCTATATAGAAAAAAACAAATGATTAATTGATTGGTTGATTATGGGCTGGCAAGATGGCTCTGCAGTTAAGAGCACTTGTTCTTGCAAAAGGCTAGAGTTTAATTCCCAGTACTCACATGGCTACTCACAATTGTACATAACTCCAGTTCCAGGGGGTCCAATGGTGTCTTCTAACCTCTGTCAGCACAGACATACACACAAAGCAAAACACTCACATACATAAAATGCATAGTCTTTTTAAGAGCTAATATTTTTTTAAAGGCTCATTTACTTTTAATTATGTGTATGCATGTGGGTATGCATGTGTGAGTTCAGGTGAGGCCAGAAGAGGGCGCCAGATGCCCTGGAGCTAGAACTTCAAGTGGTTGTGAGCTGCCTGATGTGGGTGCTGATAACCAAAGGCCAATCTCTGATTCCCTGTAGGAAGAGCAAGAGCTCCTGACCTCTGAGCCATCTCACCACCCTCCCATCCCCAAATACTAATTTCTCAATGGCACACTAAGGCTCCTCCAGTGCCACCCACCTCCATGACTCCTGCTTCCCTCCCCTGTTCTTCCCCCACAGTCTGCTTCCCGCCACTTTTGTCTCCTCCTGCCTCGGGGCCTTTGCACCTGCTGGTCCCTCTGCCTGAGACACAGTTCTCCAATACACAGGGTGGCTCCAGTGTCAGGCCAGTACAGCCTAATGTTGGCTCCTCAGCTTCTCTCCTGTACTCCCTTATTCTGCCAGCCTGGACTGGATGTTCACATAGCCATGTTTGTCTCCTCTCAGGGTCTCAGCACAGTAATGGCGTAGAATGGCTACTCACTCTGCTTGTCCATAAAAGCAAGCCTGCCCCAGTTTACAAGCCTGGTCTGGGCTCCACTCCCAGAGTGGGCACTTAGCTTCCTGGAGTCCTGTGTGCGCCTGGCTTCTGTTCTGGTCTCACCCAAATCTTTATCCCACAGTGATGGCACTGCCAGGCATTGAGGTTGGGGACTTCCCAGTCCCTTGGAAGCTGTAGCCCGTTTTATAGATGAGGACATTAAAGACCTCCTGGAGGCTGAGCAGGATCCCCCTTGGGCAAGGACCACAGACTGTGAGGCCCTTGATTGTTTGGGAGTGAAATTCTTGCAGGTGTGTTAGCTGAGGATTTTTAATGAGCTCACACTAGATTTGAGGGGCTATCTCTAAACTCTAAACCCAGTGATTGACATCTGCATGGGCAGAGAGACAGAGAAGATGTCCATGAGAAGCTATAGTAGAGCCTGCAGACATGGGAGCCGCTCGGAACCAGGAGAAGCAGGGAGGAGCCCGTCCCTAGGGCCTCCCTAGGGTTCTTGGGTCCAAGAACTACCTCCATCCAGAGCTGTAGGGCATAAAATGCTATTGTCTGGAGTCCCACAGTTTTTGTGCATTTGCTAAGCAAGCCTCAGGACACTTGCCCATGCTGGAGGAAATAAAGGTCAGCCCAAGGACGGGGATGCTGGAGCACAGTCCATCAGTACAGATGGTCAGCCAGTCTGTGTTCTCCCGGGAGCTCAGAAGGAAGAAGGTGAGGAAGGTTGTACCTCCATTGTCACAGCTCCTACAGCAGCAGCTCTCAGCCTGTGTCTCAACTCCGTCGGCCTGAGACCATCGGACAACACAGAAATTGACACT